CATGTCACTAAGCTCAAGTTTCTTCTTGCTTTGTTAAGTATTCTTCACTCCTGAGAAAAACATGGGAAACTCTTTGATGTTGAACTATGTTTAAAATTCAGTATTCTTTCAATCTTTGAATTCTACCATAGGTTTAGATCAATGAAATCCATCATCTTTACATGACTATGTTCGAAAAGAATCCTTAGCTGGTCGTTTCATTGTTTCACTAATGGTACATGATTCAAGGACTGTTCAAACTTTATGCAGAGAATGGTGATGTCATTGTCATCTGACAAAGCAGTCTGGGAGGCGGTAATGAACAACGAGGTGGTGCGAGAGATTAGGGATTTGTACAACAGTGGCATAAGTGAAGGTATATGGAGACTGAATTGATCAATCTATGCCTTGCATTTGACAGGATTCTCAGGGCACTCATTGGCATGTTCTGTCTTTCTATTTTTCTAATAACAGATGAAAAGAGCTCAGATGACAGTCCCAGGGAGAATAACGCAGCAGTGGATTTCATAAAATGGGTATTTGACAACACAATGGTGAAGGCTACTGAAGTGTTTGAGAAGATAACAAAGGTGGTGACTGAGTTCTTCAATAGTCACAATGGTGATGGTAATAACAAAAAGAGTAAAGATGCCAAGTTCAACAATTGGCTCGAGGAAAAGCTGAGGACTTCGGTCTTGCTCTCCATCGTGGTACTGCTGGTCGTGATGGTGTCTCGAGCCTGCAACAGGTCATGAACGGCTCAAATTCGTCGAAACTACTTTTGGTCTTTGTCTCTTGAACACTTGCTTGTTTAGCTATTTTGCAGGTCATATTATGGTTTGTTTTGGTAATCTCTGCTTTTTACTCCATTGTTGACATTGTAGACAATTTATTATAAGTCTAAATGTTTCAAAATGTTTAGTTTTCTTCTACACGCATTCACTGAATTCTATACAACATTAGAAATAAGACACCAAGAAGGATTTGTCAGGTCATGGTTTTGTAGATACAAAATCTAAGGGAACAACACTACTCTTCACGTCCTTGTCTGTCTAGAACATCCATCACCTGTGTGTTTTCATGTCTGAAGGAGAGTTCAAAAGAGACTCCACATCGGGAGTAACAGTCGCAAATTTGGCCGAAGAACCGATGCGACAGCAGTTTCTCCCTTTGGTGTCGTCGATCACTGCCACATCAGAATGAAATTTCGTTTTTGGACCTGGCGAGACCTGCATATGCAAATCGATTTATTACCAAGGATCTTATTTCAACACGGCTTCGGATATCTGTTCAACAATAGAGACATGCATCCAAAGGTAATAAATTTTGACTCACATCGAAGAGGACATCTCCAAGTTTCAACTTGACAGCTCCGCTCTTGTAAACTTGCATTTTCCCCATGAAACTCTCTGATAAGCCTTCGAAAGGGCTGTTTCTCTTTGAGATATGATCCGATATCGACCTCTTGGTGTTTGGTGCTGTCAATTGCTTCATTACAGGGAGACTGTCCGGAATCTTGAACAAAAACATCTGTTTTTTGCAGTGTTGCTGCTGCATATTGGTTAAAGCTCAGTGTAAATTGTAAAGTGAAGAGTTTAATGTCTGTCTGTCAATACCATTTTGTTAACCAGTTCATTACCGAGGTTAGACCGAGTTCTTTTGCTGAGTTGATAGTGCTCTCATCATACTCAGGATGTTTAGCCAACTCTCCAAATTCCTCCTGATCACAGAGTTCTAACAACACAAAGAAACAGGTTCCGGTTGAGAGATAGAGGGTGATATGCAGTTATTTACGGGGCAACACACATTCACGCATCTGATTATTCAGCGTAAATATTCGAGATTCAGATAAACATATGGTTGTCATAGAGCTATTGCAAAGCAGTGAGCATACCTGGATCACCCGAGTTCGGCTTTCTCAAAGGAAGAACAGTAGGATAGTAGGAGTTTACATAATCCTGCGCATGAGTCGAGCTCAAACTTATGTCGCATAATCAACACAAGAGATATTGGGAAGATAAATCAATTTCTCTCTAAAGATTCTAGTTACCCAAGGTTCAATGTAGTCTTCCTTGGTTCTTGTAACCAAAGTATGAACCTCTTCTTCATCTTTTTGGGGAGTAGCAGAAGAAACAGTAGGAAGAATATCAGCAGACGAAGAGGGTTTTACATGCGAATCGCGTTTGTCATCTTCTTTAGGAACCCCAAACGACTTTATTCCAACTGACGATGCGTATGGTTGGAATGCAACTTCAGCGGAAGCTGCAATATTTCAACTTTTCAACTTCAGCGGTTGCTATAATACTATAGATACACCCACCACATTTCTCACACATGGCTACTGAGCTTAGTTCTCAGATAACCCATTTACACAAGTGAGATCAAACACAACTTGATACATTTAAATCGACAAGAAACGAAAAACGAAAATGAAGACTGAGAATACATATATAACGTGGACAATACCTTTCTTTACGGTTTTCTGTTTCCCTTGGCCAATCTGCAACCACAACAACACAAGAAAAATAGGTTTCAACTTTAAGCATGTGGATAAACAACTAAGCAGGTTATAGGCCACTAAAACAGATATTTCCTTAACGATCTGATTCATTGAAAGGAAAATACAAAGAATGAAGTGAAACTGATTCTCCAGGTTTGTCCCAGAGTCACCCTTAACCATTTGTTGCATATCTGATAAACGTTTCACATCTGTTTTATCTGCTGTATCTCTCTCATATATACCAAGAAATGTAACCAAAGCATATATTTCTATAACAAATTCTCATTAGAGAAGGAAATGGGACATTTATATGTAAAATGGTCTTGAGCTAAAGATGAAGAAAGCACACCGTTTTGGTATCAAATGTAAATTGTTTTGTATAAATAATAATAATGGAATGTGTAAGATGTTAAATAATTGAGTGACGGTTAGATTAACTGATTGATACTAAAAAAAAAGAAGGAAAGAAAAAATGGAGAGAAGATTCAATTCAACAACATACGATACGTTTGGCTAGCTGCTTTGCTGCTTTTCTATTCTCTTCCTCAGCTTCGCTGTGTTGAGAGAAGACAAGGGTACAAATCTTTCAGGTGTATGTATGTATGTATAGACGCATAAACAAAAGATCGAGAAAATGACTTTACGTGTTGGAAGTCGAGGCGATCGGCCGGAGAGAAGTCGTCGGAGTCGGAGGTCTTGGTTGGAACCTCCGCTGCGGAGAAAAAAATGGTGGAGAGAAGGTCAGTGAAACGCAATTTCGCGGCAGAATTTGTATGAGATCTGAGATGGAATCAGTGAAGGTTACCTTCGATTTTCGGGGAATCTGGGAGCCTGAATCCATGGCGGTCGCTGGCGAGTG